TATTGGGTGGTTGATTATACATTTCCTTTAATCATCGTCATATTACACAGTATTATGGTAACAGTGTACGTATAACAATTTAGTCGTTACAACGAAATGGGTGCCGATGTGATGTAGTGTCAACTTCAGGGTACGACTGGCCGTGATCGCGTAAAAAAATAGTGACAATCGAATGCCCGGTTTCGCGGAACACATCACGTTCACCGATATTCGTACGACGATGCTCGCGAAAAAAAACGCCGCTGACGACACCGGAAACGCTCGTATAAACGAAAAATAAAGTCTTGCTGCACCACACTGCCGCAACTACACCCCTCTCCACCACGATTCGATGTCTCATACATATTACATATACAGATAGTCATCCCGCGGGAAGGCGTGTGCAATAAACTTCGGTAATTTGACAACTTTGGCGGTGCATTCGAAAAACACGTTTTATTTTCTTTCCGATATACCCACACACTCACGCTCACGCGGATGCATACAGAGTGATTCACCGAGCACAGTCGTGCCCTTTTTTCTTCAATCGTGCAGTTGTTTAAAATATGATTCTAAGAATTTTTAAATACACTTGAAGACTATACTTTCAAATTATTGAATTCTTTTATAACACTTTAAAAGTTTCCCGTGTTAATACACAACTTCAAACTTCAAGTGTGCACGACAAACTTTGTCAGTTTATCAGTGTATGTAACCAATCGCGATCAGCGACTTAATTTTTAAAATAAAATATCCCCCTTTTTTACTGTAAATTATTAAGTGGATAATTTTTTAGTAACTTTAGATGTATCTAACTTAAAATTCAAATGAGTAGTTTTTGAGTTATTTAACTTTGTGGACTGGGGGTTATAAATCCGTGATAATGAGTTTGGAAGACACGAGAGCTATAGTAATTTCTAAATGTTAGTAATTTATATTAACCTATCAACATTTATAATCTATAAACAAATAAAACAGGGTAAAAGTATAATAAATACTAGATCCTATAATACATCAAGTTTATATTTTTGTAAAACCATTTTTTTGGACTATTATCCTTAATATAAACATTTCAATAACTGAAAAACTACTCGTTTAAATTCTGAATTCGATACACCAATAGTTTTAAAAAAAATGTTCTACTAAATAATTTACAGCGAAAAAGGTGAGTTTTCATTTTAAAAATAGAATTTTATACTTCCACAGGATACTCTTTAAATATTACAAAAATTTCTCATGAATTTGAAAATATTATGGTCTTTAAGTGTATATACAAATTTCAAATATCAGAATTTGAATAAATTCATTATTAAATGGAGAAATGGCTGCGAGTATGATTATATAGTGAATCACCCTATATAATATATTATGAACCTTTGTTCCACATAATCATGTATATAAGTATGTGTGCGTATTAGCATGTACGCGGATTAACAAACAAGATTATATTGAATTATGAAATAGGTGAAAACAATATTGGTATTTCACAATGTCTTCTGCCACCATCGCCTATATAAACGATAATTTCACAATGTATAATAGGTAAAAAATAAGTTAAAATATTGGTTATTAATTATTATTCTAAATAACTCAACCGACAGTGGCGTATTTTGGTTGATTTTTCGAGAGATGTCCAAAATATTCCTTAATAATCCAATAAAATTTTAAAAATTCCTGGATATTCCGAATAAACTATAAGCTTAGCTTAAAAAATACCTCGAAACGCGTGTCATAAAATTAATTTCACTTTGACAGTTTTGATATAAATATTTTGGTAGGCACGAGTAAAATATTTTAAATATTAATACATTGAGCTATTTTTATTTAAGTCAGGGGTACTTAGACATAGAGGACCTCCCCTCCCACCCCTAAAAAATACGCCACTGCTAACTAATAAACTTATATCGACGTACATTCCGTTTAGTAAGTTTTTATATTTAATTTCAAGGGCCAACCACTTACAGAAACGTTTATATCAAGTAATAACTCAAATGTTTGATTTCTACTCCCTAAACCACGCGCAATATAGCAAATATATGTTCAGTAAATACAATCTTAAGTTGTTAGCCTATTTAATATTAGAGACAGAGAGAGAGTGACACAAGATCTGGAGAAATATTCAATACTACATTACTTTATGATTCTACGTGATAATTAAGTAAAAATAAACGAACACAATGCAAACATAATTAAATAATATAATACCTATGATCAATAACGAAGTAGGTTAAATTTTTTTGATATCAAAAGTCAAAACTTATTATTTAATACAGAATGGCTATCAATAAAAATCTATTATAAATAGACAAACTACGAATTTAAAATTTCTAAAAAAGGATAAGACCATTATACAATTATGTTGTATTGGTATTAGTCACCTACTATATAGTACTTAAACCCATGTAAAATTTAACAGAAATTATTCATACATTATTTTACATTCTTTGAATCCAATATTATACTTATCTTGAATCATTGTAAATTTTATGGCTAGAAAATTACAAAATATTCTATAAATACATATAAACATTGTTCATAAACACTTTATTATTGTGTAATCAAATTAAACAATCCGTATTATCACTGTGTCTGTGTCAATACATATTGTATTTAGATAAACTCTGAAATAACTGCAATGATAAACAAATTTAATTTGAGTATGTTTTTTTTTCTAATTAGAAGGGACAGTAAAAATATTATTAAATGCAAAAATAGATTAAATTAAAAAAATTATGAACATTAGTACAAAACACAGAAATAGGTAATGGTTCTAAAAATATAAAGGAATAATAATATAATATTGTAAATGGAAACAAATAACTGTTAGGTATTGCATCAGAAAAGTTCAGACATCATTAAATATTTGTATTTATGTATTATATTTTAGTGCATAATTTTATTTTATATTATGTGCAATAATACAATTTTATATTATTTATGTTAATTTACAGTAACAACCATATTAAATAACAAACCTTCACATAATTATCTTCTCGTATATTCTGTCATCAATGAAAAAAAAAAAAATTAAATCGTAAATCGTTTTGTAAACCAGTCTTCTGTTGTTTTATACACTTGTACATTCACTGTTTATTTTTACATTTTTCTGCATTTAATTTTTGAAACAAATTTGCGTAAAATTAAATAAAAATACATTTTAAGTTTGAATTGCTTTTGCTCTTCAGTTCTTATTGGTTAGTAAAACATTGAGCTTTCATAAATTAGATACAATTTGATTTAATCATTCGAACCATAAAATATAGGTAGATACGACTGAATAACCTAAAATAAAATCACACCAAACAATACGATTCATTAATTTTTAATGTTAAGTATACGATTATTTTTCCTTCTACAGTTTCAAATTTTATTTTTGCAACTATTGATGAGTTATAAAATGTATAGTAGATACGCGTCGTGCCAATTAAATACTTCTGTAATAACCCATCCAAGAACAAGCCTATAAAACCGAGGACTTTTGAAGTGTTTACACTACCATATCGTACAAAAAAAAAAGCAGTAGTCGAACAAATTATGTTTTGATACTTATCTGTAGGGCATGTACTCGTATATAATAATTATAGCTGGATCACGTACATGTTTAAGAAGTACATCTACCTTAAAAATAATGATTAAGTACCTAATTAAATACAACTAATATAAATATTTAATAATATACCTACTTCATACTAAAAAAAATTTCTCCCATGTTTTATTTTCACCACTAAGATAATGAAATACCAACCAAGAAAAAAAATAATTAGAGAAAAGCTGCAAACCATCTGAGGATTGAAACAATAAAAAAAAACCCTACACTTGACGATTTGATAATGTCTTACCAAATTCCCACCTTCTCAAAAATCTTATTTTATATCCCGATGATACACTCCACTCTAATTTAAAAATACTCACTGACAGTCACTATCTTAACTCTACTTAAAAGGCATTTAACAACCCACTATCTCACATTCTAACCCGCAAGTTGAATTATAACTCAACTTTTATTAGTAAATATTCTAAACAATCTAAACAACCCCAATAGAAGATTAAAAAGACTAGTTTCATAAACTAATTATCTAAATTAAAAAAATTTATTTAATAAATAAATAAATAAATAAATAAAATGGTCACGAAAATGAAGAGGAGGACATTTAGCCTTAGATCATACACAATTATCACTTCATTTATAAATATTGTAACAATCACAGAAGTGTTCATTTTCAGAAAATATCATTCTACAACCTACATTTATATTTAATTAAATATAATTTAAACAAAAAAATTGTCTTGACAGTCATATACACGGAATGGTCATTCTTTTTTTTTTTTAATAATTAATTTTTAATAAAGATGTAGAGATAGTTGATTCAGACAAGATTCAAATAACACAATTAAAAACTCACAAAGGAAAACATTTAGTTATTTAAATGCCTTATAATTAAATATTACTTTTAAGTCAGTGCAACTAATTTTTGATTTTTCAAACTAAATAAAAAAGCTTGGAAAGTAACAGATTGAATATTGCCATGTAAACATAAATACATTTTTCCTTATAAAAGTCAAAAGTTCATTAAATTTCTTGAAAATCAAAGATGTATAATGATTAATGACATTTATTAATTTAAAAGAATTTAGTCAATGCTGTATAATGCACATTATCTAAAATAAAAATAAATAATTGTATATTTCTGGATTAATATATCATTACTGAATTTTAAACTAAATATTGAAGATTAAGATTAAATATTATATGTCAGGAGAATAAATAATCACCATAGTATTATAAATTACTAATTGAAAGTCTTCAACATGAATCAGCATTACATACAATCAATATGTATACAATAAATTATAATTGAGAATCAAATAATAATTTAATAGAAATAATTTCTTATTGTAATTATTTATTTTAATTATTACAAATAATTCGGAAAATTTAAAATACTGAAAAAAAAAATTAATAAAATATTTTTAAAACATGTAACATATGAAAATATAAATTATATTGGAATAAAAATGAATAATATTACATTTTATGAATACAACTAATCATTTTTATTCAATTCAATTATCTGAATCACTTGTACTTGAAGAACTAACATTCTCAATGCTACTATTAAAAGAGAATTCTTCAGCTTTTACACGTTCTTTATATCTTGCAAAATGTAACTCATAGTCTTTAACATAACTTTCTGAATCAGAACTACTATCACCTAAAACAAATACAGTACAAAATAAAAAATTTTCTTTATTTAATTTATAGTATACATTTTATTATGTTTCATAAAATGCAATAAATATAACAAGCTAACAAGTACTAACTTTGTACATTCCAGTGTTTTGACTTAGAAATCAGCCCTTGATAACAATCTTCTTCACTAAAAAAAAAAAAAGAAAAAAATTAATTATTAAGTTATGGTTATATTGTTAATATTAACTTTGATAAATATAATATCTATATTCTTAAATAAAGGAAAGTACTAAAAAGTGAAATAAGAAAAAATTAATTTTAGAACTCAATAAATTGAATTACCTATACTTTTTTATGCATTACATTATCTTGGTAGAGACAGGTTAGAAGTTTAAGAACATAAAAGCATTTATTAATTTATATAGATTAAGTCCATAATATATTAAATAAATAAGTGTAAACTTTTGTAATTATACTTTGTTTGATTTGAGAAACACTAGATTCCTGCATACTAAATTAGATTGTATGTTTACTACCTAATGCCAAAGTGTATTGAATGAAAAATCATTTTTGACAAAGGACTGGTAGGTAGTTAGTTAGGATAGTGCTAGTAATAAGTAGGATGAATTGTTTTAAAATGTTTTTGTCTGCAGCTTAGTCATTTTTAAATTTATATAAATAAAGTATAGCTGAATAGTATAAAATAATTACTATTTTTGAAATAAATACAGCTCAATAAAGTAACATAACTTTATAGTATGTTTTAAATGTATCTTTTTTAATAGATTATTTTAACGGATAAGTTAAATTTGAATTTAACAAAAATTATTACATACAAAGAACAATTCTGTACAACAACCTGAGAAACATCTAATTCTAAGAATATTTTATAACTTATTTCTATTAGTAACAAATTAAGTAAAAATTATTTTTACCTAATACATCACTTATATTAAAAAATTTAATATTGTTATAATATTATAAAGTGTATGGTTATTAATAACTTACAAGTCAATATAAAGTAGAATAGTATAAATAGGTTTATAGACTCAAAGAATAAATAGTTTGACATTTTTCTAAATAATTTAAAAATTTCTTGAAGAAAATATCATTAAAAATTAATAATATGCGTAATCATACAATGTTTCATGACCCAAAATTAAATACTTTTTTAATTATAACAAAATTAAAATCTTAAAGGTATTTGAATTGGATAAACAAATTTTATTAAAATAGTTTCAATATCTATAAATAGATCAAAAACTATAATATGTATAGAAAATGCTAATTTTAATAGTTGTTCATTATAAAAAAACCACTTTAATCAAAACTTGATAATTTTTTTTCCAATTAATTTGAAAAATACTCTTAAATTTTTACTTCAAAAAAAAAATATCAATTAGAACTAATTCTAACAAATTATTGAAGACTAAAGAATTTTTTTCTGGTACAAAAATAACTTCAAAAAAAAAAAACCCCCCATTCTTAATGTAAAAACAATATATTTATAATGCTCTATTAAGAATCTAAAACTGTGCTAATTATTTGTTTATAATGGTCTCTAATGTTATCAATGTAAACACTTGATTGCTGATAGAATATTTTAATACTATTTTTACAAAATAATTAAAGTAAGTAATAAAATGTTTTACAATCTTATATTATAACTAACTATAATGTATTTAATGATATATTATTAAAATAAAATTACTCATTATCCATTTCATCCTCGTCAGGATAATCATTTCTCCAATTCCCTTCATCATTGGAATCATCATCATCTTCACAAAGCGAAGAATCATTATCAGAGTTATCAATTGCATTGCAGCTATTATAAAAATTATCTGAATCTAAACCATGTACACTAAAAACAATGTATAAACAATTTTTAATTCTTTTAAACATGTAAATGTATAAATAGTAATTAATCAATAATAGTACCTATCAATATCTTGTAAATCAATTGTTTTATCATCATCATTTAATGCATAATACAAGTCGTAAACGTAGTCAATTGAAATTCCTTCATCTATTAAGGGCTTCTTATTATCTTCTGCTTGCTTAACAAAATCAACAACTTTTATTTCTAAATTTTCTCCATCTATTTCTTCAATGGGTACTGTATCTTGTTTAACAGCTCTGAGAGCATTAACTAGCTAAAAAATTTATTTTATGTAGATACTTAATAATTTAATATTATAACCATGAAATAATTAATAAGTATTGTCTACTATTTAAACATTTTATTAAGCTAAATATATTTTTTAAAGTAGGTACAATCAGAGAATAAAAATTAAAGGACTAATTCTTTCTTTAATTATAGCATAAAATATTATTGTAATATAATATTATTATTAATTTAAAAACAATTATAAATTACTCTATTCAAGAAATTACTTTAAATTCAGGATAGTAAAAAAAATGTGCTCCAAGATTTCGAGAACAAAGAATTTATAATAAAACCTTAACATTACTTACAAAATCTAAAATGTATCACCATATTTAACTAAGATGGTTATATGGCAAAATACAAGTATAGGTAATTATTTATTTTTAACTTTTATTTATAATTGCTATTTTTAATGATTAAAGCACCTACTTTATGAGTAATGAATGATAATTATAATTTATGACAAACCCTTAAACGTTTAGTTTTTGAATGTTCGACCACATCATTAATGTTTTCGTTTTTGTTCTTCTTTGTTAATATTTTTACAGATTGTTCTTCTCGGACCTTTTTCAATATTTGAGATATGTTTGTATTCTAAAATAAAATTTTGATGAGTTTTTCTATACAACTAAAATATAACAATAACATGGTGTATATAATATTACTACCTGTTAGTATCTATAAATTAAAACTACCTAGTTCTCAAACTGCAAATAGTATGCAAATAGCAAAATACTTTAAATACTGAATGATGATAGTATAGAAAATTAATAAATTCATATTTTTCCTGATGTTTATAATAGATCTATTATTTGATATTTTTATACATTATTATTGTTATACAACATTACCAAAAATACATTAAAAATCTATAATTGTTGACATATATTGCAAGTGGACATAAATAATTTTTAATTACAATTTAAATCTGTTTGCAATACATATTTTACATTAAAATCTTAATCATAAATTTCTATTAAGCTATTTAGTTTATTCGCACTAATTAACATACATAATAGGTAGTATAAGAATGGAAATTTTGATTAGTTTCATTTTGGGTTATTAAAGGTACTTGAATAATATGTTATACGTATATAGATAGTACAATAAAAACAAAGTAGCAGCATCCATAGTTGTGTTCATGTAAGATATTTAACAACGATTTTACAATACATTGTACAAATCTAGAATTAACATTACACTTATAATAGTAAATTAAATATTATTAAAAATAAAATATTAACTGTAAAATTGATATTTTTACTTACGAGTCTTAGTTACAGTAAAAATTACTCACTTCGTGCGTTAAAGTGGCGGCAAATTGAAATATACAATCTCTACTGGAATCAGTATCGATAGTTTTTAATTTTTTATGGGATACAACAATGGAGTTAAATGGGTCTTCATTGTAACGTCTTTTGACACGAACAAACGCCATAACTATTACTTATTATTGACTACGATAATAGTCTATTTCGATGAATAATTACGTAGACTTGAAGCATAAACAATGTACTATATAAATCTACATCCAATGTCAAATGGAAATCACAATGATTATATGATTAGATTTTTTGAGATAAGTTAAAACCATAAAAGCTGTAAAATACTTAAAATATAAAATGTTACATAAGAAAACGAGAGCTTCAACTCAACTTAGCAACTTGCAACTTACAAGTGTACAGCACTACAGCACGAACACGATGTACACAATACCTATTGTATCATTTTTATCACAAACGTTCGGCACCATAACAAAATAAAATGTATAGTTTTATGTTGTCTGTGATATTTTACCACATACCACGGTCGAATATTATCTAACAAAGATGTAACCATGTAAAAAAAACCCTACGTTTTTGCCGCCAATTTTTGTTCTATCATCCGTCTAATCATTTAAAAAAATAATATTTAGAAATCAAAATCTCTAGTTAGCTCTTACATTCTTATCATTCTAAATTCTTAAAGAAACCAAGACTGTAAAATTCCAGTTTTAATTTTTCCATACCAAGTTATTCAAAAGACTAAAACAAAGTATAAATATAATAAACATTTCTATTAATTATGAATGTAATGATACTTAACATTTTGACAATGAACCATAATCATACCACTGTGCTTAAATATTTTTTAAATTACTATTGATATAATTTTGAATAGAATAACTTTGGCGAATAATTTATGTCTTATAACTTGGTAGCCATATGATGGAACTCTCTTTGAATTTCGAACAATTACAACTTAAATCTGAGTACTTACACACTAATTCAAAACATACACACTTTCATGAGGATGGTGAAAATAATTTGTTTGTTTCATGGGACGATTGCGTCATGGTTGTATATTCATTAAACAATTTACCTGAAGCTAGTCTTTGGAATCCTATTAAACCCATTGTAAGTTATTATAAAATAAATTGTTTTTAAATTTTAAGAAACCTAAAATAGTTTTAAAGTTATTAATTAGATATACCTATCTGTGTTAAGTACCTAGAAACCTTATTATTATCAGTTATAATATTAAAATGTTTTTAATTGATTCATATATATATATGTATGTATTTATATATATATATATTATAAATGTATTTTGTATAAGCTATGTATATTGAAATTAAAACAATTAAAATTTAATTGATACATTAATATATTATTATCATTTGTAAATATATAAATTAATGATAAATCTCAAATTATATAATATGATCTATATAAATATAAACATAATAAACTAATAACTAATAACTTATATGTATTTTATAGAATAAATTATAATTGTATACTAAATTATATGTATTTGTATATTTTTTTTATTATTTGTTAGGTATATATTATAAAAATCAAACATAACTATGGTAAAATAAAAAAATATGCATACACAGATATTTTAACAACATAAAAGAATAATAATATTATATTCTATTAACATCTTTATTTTTACTAGATTGTGCCAATAAGTAATCCAATAATATCAATATTGACCTTTAATTCAAAAATGTATTGTGTTGATAAAGTTGGATCTATTTATTATCTAAAACAAGTTCAACGGTAAGCCAGTAATTTATTCACTGCAATTTCTTTGAAATAAATTTATTTCAGTTAAATATTTTAGAGATTCTCCAGACTTATTTGATTGTTCTGAATCTGCTCAAGCTACTCAACAACCGCTATCCTGTAACTATGAATGGAAACCCTTCTACTCTCAAAAGTGTCCATGTGAAGTTTTTGGAACTACTTGCTATTCAGATGGAATTGCTTTAATAACAGCAGTGGGAGAATGGATAATGATACAGATGTTAAAAATTACTATTAATGATAATAATGAACCTATTATATTCAATACCTGTAATAAGCAAATTAGATCTCAAAAATCGGTAATAAAATAGAAAAAATGTTCGAATACTAATAATAATAATTGTATGCACAATTAGTTTCCATTTGTAGTTACTTCGTTTATATCTTTTACTTGGAGGAATTGGTTTAGCAGTCAACGAGTTAGAGAACTTTTTGGATTAAATATAATTGATAGTCAAGATATTTTTATAATAGCAACAGAAGAGTCAAAAATATATTGTACAACATCTAATATTACCAATAAAAATGTTTCGTTATTTTTAAATAGTCCACAAAAAATTCTACATATTCAATTTTCTGATTTTGGTAATAATTTTGGGATTTTAGCTTTATTTACTTTATAGATTATTATAATTGTATCAATTTTTTAGAATCAAAAAAAATGCTATTAGTGTCATCCAATGGAATTCTTACAGTCATCCATTGTGCAGAAAATATTGATACAGCATTCATTTATCTGGCAGTTACAAAAACAGTTGCTACATTTATTATCGATCATACTGTGATAATAAGTGATGGTGTTCATTTATTTGTTATTACATTGGATAAACTATTTTCTAAAATAATCAAACAAGTTGTAACTCAATTAAAAGGTACTATTTTAATTTTATATTCCTTTATTAGAATTATCTTATTGCATTTAAATCTATATTTTAGGAGTTATTTCATTACGCCCATTTCTGTCCAATAACATTATTGCAATGACTCGATTAAATAAAGTGTATAAATTATCTACTAAACTTGAAGTGATCACTCAAGAAGAAGAATTCAAGTTTAAATTTAGCGAAAAATCAATTTTAGAAAACATAAAAGCTCTTTGTAAGAATATAGAGTCTTTAGAAAAGCAACACGATATTATGAATAAATACATAAATGCAGTGTCTATTGTTGCTCGCAAAGATTTGGTAGCTCAATATTGTTCATTAAACATTTTAATATATTCAGGTTGTATTGTTTATTTAATTTTACATACTGATTTCAATAAAATATCAAACATTTTCAAATGCAGGTGCTAAAGCTGTCAAATTAGGAGCTTGCCAAGATGAATATATTTTTGCAATCAAACTTTCCACAGACTGTTCATGGTTATCATTTCCATCTTCAATTTGGCAGCTTTTGGTTCGGATTACTGATAATAACAATTTGTCATCAAATTGTGGATTACATTCTTTTGACGTTGATCTCTTCAACAATAATCATCCATTAATGGTAAAACACCATTTATTGGCGACTATTGCTGAAAATTGTACATCTGGTTTAGTAAATTGTGAATTGGTGTGTCAAGTACAAAATGATTCAATTAATCATTGTTTAATTATTCCATTAAGTCCAATAAAATTAAATTCATTATATTTTGTCAAAGCTGAAAAACGAGAAAAAATACTAGTAATTAATCCTCTGGAAGATCGACATAAGTATGTTTTTAAATTTCCAGAAAATGTATCATTAGTAGATTGTTTAACTGTTATTATAAACAGAAATAAACACAGAACAGCAAAGTCATTTTATAAAAATATAATCGGTAAGTGTTAAAATTAGTAATTGAGTCAATTAGTACATTAATTATAAATACGATTTAAAAGTTATATATCCATTATCAATAATTATTATCTAGTAATATGTTTGATAAATAAAACAATTAAATTATTATAATGCTATTATTCTTTAATAAAACAGTAGACATATTAATATTTATAAGTCCATCAATCTATGAAATTTTAAAAGAGAGATTCACTTATTATTTTGAAAATTATTAAATTAATCAATAAACGTCTTAATTAAATAATTTTTTTCCAAAAAAAACTAACAAATAATTATAATTATAAAATTAAAAACTATTAATTATAAGAATTATTTATAAATGCATCGCAACATAGAAGAAAAATTTTTTATTGTATTGCATTAGTAAATGTTAAAAAAAAAAGTAATATACAATTATAATTGAGTGTACTTCATCATTGAGTAGATGACTATAAATGAATTTATAAATTTTAATTCAGAATGGAGACAATTTAGCCTTTATATGACTAAATTTTAATTAATTTTATTATTAGTATTACAGTGTAAATAGGTGATAGCTTAAACTTAATTTATTTATTTTTTTAATATTGTAGTATTAAATAAAATAACTAAAATTGTTATTTTTTATTTATATATCAATTTTGTTAATATTTGGGCTTCAGTCTACAAAAAAAAAAAAAAAAAAAATGAGACAAATATATTTAATTTTTGGCTTTTAGTTAAAAACTAATTATAATGAACCTTGTATGAATTTTATACTTTCAAGGCATTTTTTTTATTTTAATATGTTTTGTCAACATTTGAATTTCAAACACTTGATAATAAAAGTTATGATTATGTATTTTTAATATTGATAAACTTCTTAAAGTTTAACAGCTTATTTGTGATGTTGTATATATTTTTAAGCTTTTTGACAGTTTAAACAGTTTTATCATCTTTTTATTTTTTTATGGTAATTTTTTGTAACTTAATCATATATATTGTAATAATCATGTAAACATTTGGTGAAAATTTCAAGTACCTACAATGATTTATTTTTGAATTAAAATAAAATAAAATAAATTTTCTTAAGCATTTATTTTGTGTAAAAATTTCAGCTATCCCAATTTTAAGAAAAGTTCAGGAAATTTATTTTTGTTTAAATTATTTTTTTATTCTAGATAATACACCAAATACACTGTATTTAAATTATTTTGGAAAAATAGTCTCTATAAATTTGGATAACAAAATTACAAATACAATCACTCTAGAATGTCTAGATCAAGATGCTTTGATTGCAGTTCGTAATGGTGTTTTTAGTGAACTTTCATCCGATCAACCAGCAACTATAAACTTTTCAGTTCTTGCAGACATACAAGTAAATATCATTAAAGTTTTATTTAAAGATTAATATAATATTTTATTTATCTGGTTTTTAGAAACAACTTTGTTTAATAGAAGAATTATCAGTTAAAGATCGTCAAAACAAACATATTGTTAAGGAAATTAAAACTAATATTCAAAACCAAATTAGTAATCATCTACCTGTGTAATTAGGCATTTGTTTATATTTTAATACAATAAATTATATTACATTTTTCAACAAATTTAAAAAAAATAACACATAATATTTTATTCTTAAATTATTAATTTTGCAATAAAAACGTAATATTTAAGAATAAAAAAATGTAATTTATGTTATTATTGATAGTATTTACTGTTTAATATTTATTTCATTTTATTTGTAAAGTATCAAATTTGTATTATGGCCTTATACAGAAAATAGATACTAATTTAATACATTAAATAAGGAATATGTATACAACATACATATTCATTGAACCAGCTTTATTAATATTTAACTTTGTCCATTCTTCCTGATCCCTGATAATATGGTTACTTATAATTATTATATTATCTTATATATTTATCTAGTATTTTGTTATTAATTTGCTATTATGTATTGTTAAGTTGAAATGAAACATTTTATAAAATAAAATAATTATGACTTGATATGATTGAATAATTTAACCTATAGAAGTAGGTATTAAATTTATGAAAATCCTGAAAATTAGCATGTTCTAAGAATGGAATTTTCCTCACTTACCCATTCATAATATAGAATAAGCAAAAACAAATAGTTTTATAGCACTTATTGTTATTGTTACTATAAATTAATGAAAGTAAGTCAGTTATTAAATTAGGAGAATTTTAAATTACATTAATACATACAAAATACAGATCAATTAGGTATACAAAAATAAATGATAATAAACTCTTTTTATTTTATTTTTCAATTTATTGTATCTAATCAAAATCAGCTTAGTAAATAATAGTTAAAAGCTCCAAGTATTAAAAAAAATAAAAATAATGATGGTTTTACTTATAATAAATATTTATCGAGTATAAAAGTTAGAGATTTATAAATGTTTAAATTGAAAAAAATGCAAATTAAGCTGGTAAACCAGCATTAATTTGTCCTTCAATGCCACACTCATCACTTCCTCTCAATATTTTGAAAAAGCCATCGCTACCCCAGTCAGTATTCCATGAATTAGCTACCAACCAGTATGGTATTTCACCATTCTGAACACCCCAACCAAGGATTCTAATTGCATGACCTCCAAGAGCCTTACCAGCAACATGTTTATATACTCCTGTAAACAAAAAAAAATTATTAATAGTTAAATTTTTAAATTATTAATTATTAAAAGTTTTACTAACCAGCTCTGTAAGCTATAAAATCTTCATATACAGTAAATGCACCTTCTACTGGACCATTTTTATAAATTTCTTGTCTTATTTGGTCAACGTCATTGCTAATAGAGTATACATTTTTACCTGATATTAAAAAAAATATATACAACAAAACTCATTTTAAAAAAACATTAGTATTTTTCATTTTATTGAATTTAGATTATTTACCGCGATGCAAATCTTGCTCATACGGCACCTTATATCCTTTTTCACACTTCTTTACACATTTAGGAGTTTTACCTCCTTCCTTACATGGTCCTCGTGTACCATTCACATGATGTTCACAAGGAGCAATTTCATATGGTATACATCCCTAAACCAAAAATGAATAATATATTAAATAGGTATTCATAATTTAATTATATGCACCATATTATATACATAAGCGTAACTAGGGGAGGGGCTTAGTCTCTCAAAATAAATAATGCTTTAAATGGGTTACTTTTGGTATAATATTAAGGTGGGTCTGTAGCCCCCTCCCCCCAAGATACTGTGCTAGTTGCGCCATTGATTATATCCTTGTATATATGAACATGTTAAATAGGACTCATTACTTTCTTGAAGATAATTAAAAATGTAAATTACTCGTTTAACTTAAAAACAATTAAATCAATTTATTGTAATTTCATATCACAGTTATACTTATTAAAAAACATATTACCTATATTTAATATATGTTAAAAATAAATACCTACATAGGAAATTATAAATATTTAACTTAAATTGCAAAGACCGTTTTAGTATACAATTGTTGATGGAGCTCTTTGTTTCCTAAAAGGGACAAAGGTGAATTACCAATGATAATTTTAGTAGTGATTTATTATAATCGTCACCTATCGGTTAATTTTATCACAAATTCCGCTGAATAGCAACAGAGCAGCTATTGCTAGTAATCTGGTCTTGCACCATTTAAGTACAAATAGATAATAGAAAAATGGACATGAGCTATTGAAACATTTGACACACGTCATACTATTGCCTATAGGTTATATTATTATAAATATAATGTTTATAATCAATGGTATTTATAATTAATGGCTATTGTCTTTAAAGGTCCCTTTCTAACACAGCGTAATACGTATTTTCATTGATTAGGTAAAACATCAAAAATTATTTTCTAATAAGGTCGTATCTATCTTTTTTAATTTTTTCAGGTATCTATATGAAAATACTAAATATCTAAGTATAAATACTTTCATACAACCTCGTCCTCTTCTAAATAGTAAATTGTATCTATTTAGAAGGTAGATACCTATATTTAAAAACCTAAAAATATAATAAATAAATATTATGTGTACCTACATAAATTATTACGACTTTTAAGTACCAACAGATACAATAATAATGAAAAATTGAAACAAGCCGTAATAATTTGTATTAATTTTAAGTAATTTTAAGAATTAATAACATTACCATTTTAGATCCATATGGACCTCCACTAACAATGCCTTTAGTTTTCCAATAGTGCCATGCAGCTCCTGGGAAGCCTCCATTGCATCCGAAACCGCAAGTCCAGCAACAAGAAACTAAATTCTCGGCCGAAAAATGGAAATTTTTAGTGCCATTAGAATGAATGCAGACACGGTCAGACATTGCTTCTACAGCTCCAAAAGCCTGTTAATATCAAAGGAAAAGTAAAAATTGACGTTAAACGCAAATTAAAATTGATATAAATGTTAAGGGAAGTGAATTACCCAACAAGAACCGCATGAACCTTGGTCCCTGACTTCTCTAATGGTCGGGCAATTCGGCCAATGTTCCCTAGCGTCGAAAGTCTCCGGCAGGTCAATCGGCTCTTCGTTGTAAGACAACACTTGTTCCAATTTAGGGTAATTCTTATTCAACTCGTGTACGCCCATCAACCTTTTGAAATAAGAAATCGGCGTGTTCTTGTGGAAGTTGCGGCCAGCCTGAAATAATACGAGAGAATAACGGTTATACCGCGGGTAATGGACGAAACACGGCGGTTACATCATTAGACGTACACTCCAATAATATTGTATCGAATTTATGTGATCGATGAACTCGTCCGACAGCGGATCCATGTCGACGCGGACGGCATCGTCGCCGCGAGCGAGACTGAAGATCAAAAAGCTCACGACCGCGAATATCGTCGGTTTGAACATTTTCGTAAGTTTGGTACTTGCGGTTGGAAAACCACGGTTACTGAACTGCAGCAGCTGTACGACGTGCGACGCGACCTATACCGGCGAGTGACGGTAGAGGACTAAAAAATGTATTTAATTTTTAACGTTCTACGAGCACGAACGTAAAAACAACGCATTTGTTTCGGAGGACTTTGATCGACGATAAACACAAGCGTACCGTCCGGTGAAAGACTGAAGAGGGAAGCCGCGTCGTCGGTGTTTTATACACGGTAAAATTATATTATATTTTATACATGTATATTATGTGCAATGCCCTCCTATAATGGGCACGACGATCAGAGGTTTTCGTTCGAATCTCGTTGATAAGTATACATCGTACAGCACGTTGTAATGTTGCTATAAAAAAAAAAAATAGTAACGAACGCACGCGATAACCTTTAGACGCCGTGTGCATATGCAGGAACCGTGTATTTGATCGACCTCAACCGGTTTTATCGCCCTGACTGATCGTAGAGTATGTCCCACAACTCTGATGCACTGCCGTCGCCGTCCTTCGCGATCTCGAGGTACCCAAAGACATGTCGCCATGTCGATCATAATAATTAATAATATAAGTACATTATATTTCACATTTGTATAAACGTCCGTTTGGTTTACACGGTACGCGTCCCTCGGTAATATGATTTTGAACGATACGTCAATCGTCCGATCGAGTGAGGGGCGAGATGCCGAGAGACATAAAATAATGTTATTACTTATTATGACACATCACTTGTCCGATGATAAATTATATTTCCCACAAAGGAAAAAAAATCGATATTAAAACGTATCGACGGACGGACAGACGGAGATCTTTTCTCCATATTATGCTCCGATGATTCTCCGTATTGTGTGTATACATACGCATTGCATCTAGAGCTAAGACTCTACCGCCGAAGTGTTGATGTCGTCGAAATTCGTGTACTGGAAAATTCAAAAAAATCGAACGCTAAATTATGTAGCTACTGGGACACCCCCCCCCCCCCATAGATAATAAAATCGTACTAATGTTACCTAGATGCTATAGCTATAGCTGTATGTTTTGAACTTTGTAGAGATTGGATTTGGTTTTTCGCGACTTACATATAATTTAATATTTATTGTCTATTAAACGCGTTTTATGTACGTTAATTATCGTCTACATATTGTAGCTATGTATACCTGATGTCTTATATTAATATATTTATGTGTAAAGGTTAATAATCATTGTTTACCTATACATTCGTAAGCGACATGAAACAATTGCTATGAAAATACAATAACTTAACGCGTACCCTGTATGAAGAAATTATGTGTTATGCCTTATACATAATATTATTATATTAATAATGTGTTATAGTTTACGTTGATGTATTATGTATATAATGATTATACAGTAGTCGTATAAACGTCCGCCCGTATTGATACTTGTTTAGAGGGGAAGGGTCATAATATTTCTATCTGCGTATTACGATTTTTTTATTATTATTGTTTAAATATTATATAAGCAATAGCCAGTAAATACAATGTAGGTATACTGATTTACGTTAGATATAAGACGTATAAGACATAAAATATTTTATGCGTCATTCGACAGTTGTAATAATATTTGTAGGCATGCATGATTGTACCATTGATTAAATATATTTGATCAATGGTTGTATGAATCACGGAAAAAATACAAATTCGTATAATGTATTATATATTAGTTATAATTACACAAATTCAACTATAATTGAAATTAAAATGAAATCTATCCAAATTATAAATTTTTATTACGTAAAAACTGCCTATACTTTTCTATGTTGGGAAATTTTAGGTTGGACGCTAATTGTCTATGGTATATGAAATGATCTGATTACAATATATGTATGGATATGTAACGTCTTTACAGAGTTACAATAAATACTTAACCTAACCTAAACTATCTGCATTCTATACCAGCCACTTTGGAACAAATAGAATAGTAGAAAACCTTAATCGAAAGTCGTATTAACAAAGTATTAGATAAATATTTTAGGAATTTTTTTTTACAATATCTCACCTTAATTGACATCTATATGAGATTAAACGAATGTTAACATTACACTGTCTTACTGAAGATTAAAGAGGAAGGCGTCGTATTGGTTCTGCTAAATGTTGATACTAATGCTAATAAATAATAGTAGGTAGATACTTAAATAGGTAATACAATACTTATGTCCTATATATATTTAGGAATTTAATTTTAATTGTATTTTAACATCAAAAAGTCATTTTCCAGATGTGATAAACATTTGATGTGTAAACTGGATCACAATTTTATGTAATTAGACAAATTTTGAAAAAAATTGAACTTCAAATCTTATAAAAAATAAATTGTGACTATACATCACTGTTATTTAGTTGCAGTATGAACAATACTTATGAGTTATGAGTTATGTGAAACCTTGAATGAATTTTCAATATCTCTGACTCGGAAAGATGTTGTCATCATAAGTCTAAAAAAATAAAAATGAGTCGAAAATTTAAAATATATATAAATAATTCAAAAAGAGTTCTACTATTTTGAAAATAATTTAACTTTAAGGTAATACTAAAATCAATCTAATTCAAGCCGAATTTTTCAAACTCCTGCGGTTATTATTATTCATCAATTAATTTCTATATAATGTACAAAATAACAATATTTATTGGAATACATAAAGAGATGATGAGTAAATATTACCATTTTCCATCTTATTAGCCTTTCCCAATTATTTTAAAGAGTACTGAGAACTTTATATTTTTACTCTCCATAATAAGTGACCAGATTATCAATTAAATTCAATTTTTACCATAAATTAGCTTAAAATTAAATATTGATGGATTTTCAGCTTCAGAAAAATAATATAATTAAGATAATAATTGTAAAATGATAATAAATCACTCTTCTAAAACTCTAAAATGAAAACTGAAAAAATATTAATCAAATTTGATTTTATTGAAAAATACTTGAATAATTTTATTAATTATTGATATTTTTCGTTTTAATTTGTTTTTTCTTAATTATTGAGAATACATTTTAAAACAGCAAGAACACGGAAATATTTATACATTGACTAAATTGATTTTCTTTTTAATTTTTGGTTTTACATACAAAAATTAAAACCATAAAAATGTATCATTTCCTGCACCAAATATTATAAATCATTTTCTAGACATCGTATAATTTTTAAGACTTTTGTACCTACTATTTATAGTTTATAGAAATTTTAAATTATTCACCTATTCCTTTGAAATTATTTTCATATTTTTAGATTTTATTAACAATGTTTTAGTTTCTACATTTTTAAAAATCATGAAAATTGTATTCAAGGTCATAAGTTATACTTACAGAATTTATTGAACATAAAAATTAGTGTCTACATTATTATCAGTAATTCAGTGTTTTACGGTTTTTAAAAAGCATAATATAATATATATTATATATATTAATATGTGAATTTCATTGATTTTCAGAGTCTTGATTTTCAGATTAGATTATAACAATTAAATTATAACTACATTTTTTTTTCCCTATAAAAATAAATTTTAACTCAACTGTAATAATTATTAAAATAAAATTTACATTGGAACATTAACTATGTAGAATGCCGAAAAGCATATTATAATGTATAGCCGTATATAGACTCAATAAAAATATAAAATATATACAATGTGATATATAATTTACATATTACAAATAAATAAAATCTATACTTGTCAACTATATGAAATTTTAAAATTACCCTTAAAAGCTTTAAACAAAAAAACACTACCATGACGAAATGTATAAAAAATAACAAATGTATTACTGTCAAACATATTACACATTACATGATAATAATCAAAAAAATCAAGTATTTAAGTAATACAAATTAAAAAATCTTTATTTTATTTAATTATTTATCTAAATAATTTACAGTTTTTTGGAAATTAAAACTATGGAAAAATATTATGGATATGTGCATTTTTTTGTTTTATTTCAAAATAATAATATTTTAATGAATAATAATTTAAAATTTATAATTCTTGTTTTTTTAGACGTATTTTCTTGCTACTATCAATTATGTACATGATAAAATACATTTTTGTTACATATAGATTAAATTGGGTCTTGTTTACAGTAAATAAAGTATTTACTAAATGTAGATGTTTACTTAAATATAATTTTATCATCAAATATTATCAGAGCTAAATTCTCCAAAGAACTTTTTTATTACCTGATATTCATTACATTCTTACAAAATATTTTAATCGCTACAACAAATTTATAATCCGAGTATAATGTAGGAAGTAGAATAAACCAGCCATTAGATTAGATTCCCTAATAATTAAATCGATATCAACATTCTTTGGAATGTGTGAATAGAATTCGGAAAAAGCTCTGAACCAAGCCAATTAAACAAAAGAAAAACAAACTTCTCGCTATTTTGTATAGAGTGTAAGTAGATATACTCATCAGTAATCATTAATTAAGTATTAAAATCACTGAAATTTGTATAAAATGTATTGGATTTGTGTCCTAAGATAAATCATTGCATATAAAAAACAATCTTAGGCAAAGATGATTTGTAATTACATATATTATTTACTATTTGTAATCAATTTTTCTATAGTACTCATACGGTAAATTGAACTAATTGTTTCCAACAACATCGCATTATTATATTATTATTATATTATTTTATATAATATTATTGTTAAATTGAATAAAATTTTAAATTCATGTCAATTTACTGTAGAAATATAGAATGTTAAACACAATTTTGTAAAACAAATAGCTTAAAATTGGACTAAATAATTTGGAAATTAAATTTTGTGTTAAAAATTATAATTATGAAAAAATCTTTTCTTTCTTTTTTTTTTTTATAAAATACATTTACAATATGTATATACGAAATAATACGATAGGTAGACTTTAAAACATAAGGAAAGGAAGCATCTATTGACACACTTCGATGGAAAAATTTTCTACAGTTAATTTGCCATAAATGTTTTGATTTTACAATTACATTTGCTTGAGGGTGGTTCCTAATTGATAATTGGTATTTATAGATGTCAAATATTTTCAGTACTTTTCTAAATAATAAGGAAAAGCAGAAGTGTTTACACAAAATAATATAGTTTTCAAAAAATCGATTTTTTTATCTTGCTATAGTACAAAAACGAATTACTGTAGATACTAAATATTTTCATCAAATGTTTACGTATATAATATTTTTTTACATAAGGTATAATTTTAAAAATATTAGCTCTTTTTAAGCTCTTTATAGACTTAAAATTTTCTATTTTTTTTCCTCTGTAAATATAGA